CTTAGCTTGCTGATGAGCCACTGTGTGTGTGTGGGGGGGGGGGGGCTTTTAAATTAATTCGAAACATATTTATGTAGAAAGGATATGTTTTTTTTTTGTTTGAGATAAACTGGTGAACACCACTGTATTGACTACAGTAAAGCCAAACAAGTTGATCCATTCTTATTTTGTCTTTACCGACCCTTATGTGAAAATATACTGAAGCTACACGTCTAATGATATTCGTCGAGTCTTAAATAAAATTAACAGCAAGCTTAATTTACTTACCTCTTTTTTTGAGATCATTATCTCTTCTAATGGAATATACTAATGCTGGCGGAACGTCTGATCCCAATATCTGTTTATAACTAAACCTAAATCTCCGGAGTATTTTGCAAATTAGCGATGCTTGCCAAAATAAATATTGTCAAGATAAATTAGATAATTAACGCAACTATTACTGTAGTGCTGCCATCTACTGACAAATAATAACAAAATCCCTTCTATAAAGTTTTTTGTTTTTTTTTAAGTAGGAGTTCACATATTAAGCACATAGAGTTGGTATTATACGTAAGTTATGCTTTCATATTCGAATTGTTGCTGGAAAGTCTCTTGACCGATTCGAAGAAAAGTTTATTCACTTCACATTCTCTTTGCATACACCTCTCGATGGTATCACTAATCATTCTTGTGAGAGTTTATTAATGTACTAAGTATCTCGTCCCTCTTAAGGGGATGTGAATAAAATGGACTGCTGGTTTACTCTGATGTCGGAGTAATTCACTGTAATCAGTTGCGTTGAGTAACGTACGAAAACATGGGTTCTCTTTAAGTATACTGCCTAATCACTGATTACAACTTGATTGTGCGAACCAGGGCAGCTGAATACTTCTCTAAATGTTTAATATACCTACTCTAATGACGACAGCAAGACTAAAAGTTTGTATGAAGGATTATTTTGCGTTGCCATGAATGAATTTCTAATGATCATTCATTAGAAAAATTTTATGAAGTTGCTTCAACAATTAATTACAAATTTTGTTTATATGATGTATAACTGTCGCTGGTAGTAGTAATTTATGGGTCAATTTTCGTCAATAAAAATGTAAAATTGCAAATAAATTAATGTAATTATTAACGTATGCTGGAGAGATAAATTCCCGACAATACTGACTTTTGTATTTATTTCTTTAAAATTTGGAACATCACATCGAACTACATCTTTATACCATATATCACTAATTGCAGATTTACTAAGTATTTAACAGTTAAGATTGGCCTTTTGCGCCTAAAGACTCCCAGTGAGTCAACAGTAACCTGACGGACTTACAACGCTAAAATTCGGGATTTGTTTCCCGGCGATAAACAGAGCGCAGATAAACCCATTATGAAGCTTTGCTCTAAAACAAATAAACAATCATGATTGGAATTTAGGTGGTGTAAAAGTGCTAAGGTTAGGATGTAAGTCGTGTAAAAGTGCTAAGGTTAGGATGTAAATCGTGTAAAAGTGCTAAGGTTAGGATGTAAGTCGTGTAAAAGTGTACTTACAAATTATGTTGCACTTATGTTTCTGGGAAACTTAGAACAGACTTGAACTTTGTGTTGAATATCAGTAAACTGAATAAAGTTTCATCTTTAAACTATCTCTTTCATTAGTCATTATAACATTAGACACCATTATTTTCTTTTATGTATTACGCTTGTTTACCCATATTTTTAAATTGTTTAGATCCATTATTCAAACACTTTGCTGTCTATTTTGAACAAAGCTGCTTTCGTTTCAAGTTGAAACCAAAGGTTTATAAGATACAAATACCCCAAAGTTGTAATGAAACAGAATTTGTTACCAAGCGATAAACACTACAAGTGAAGAACTCCGATGATTAATAATCGTGATACGAAATGAACAAACCAATGTACTATACACCAGGCACTCCTTGTAGAAGTTATTTTGATTTTGTACTTCCAGTCTAAGTAAGCCTCGAATATTAAAGTTTAATGTACACTTGTTGGTTGACATTCCGGATGAAATGTCAGTGTTTATTAGAGACGTTGAAAGTCCATTTTGTAACGACGAAAGCGTGAAGAGATTGTGAAAATCAAGTAGTGAGAGTGATTGTTCAAATCAACTTTATCTTACGAGGTGGCACTAAAGCGTTGATCCTCGGCTCTATTGCGATTTTAGTACTTTCAAGACTCGGTGCATTCCATAAGTAGCTTCGTGCGATGTGTGACTAATGTCTTTCCAGGCTCTGTTCATTTAGATTTATTACTGGTGTGGTCTTCACTATTGGAGCGATGGTGTTACCCAATTGAATATAAAGTTGGCATCAGCAATCGTTCCACGCCTTTATTCGATTTTGTACACTCGATTCCGCATGTGTAAATGTACATGCTTTGGTGTGTTACTTTGTGCATTTATCGAACATAACTTTTTTTCGCATTTAATTACACTCTTCTTTGAGAAAGAGGCTATCTTGTAAAATTTAGATTCTCTCAACTGACAGAGATTCGTGATGTTTTTTGCTTTGTTGTTTTGGTTTTTCATCAGAGTTACACCTTGTTTGTCCCGGCTATCGTTAGGTTCTTTTAAATACAATATTGTACGTTATAACAACGTGATATGTCAATGCCACCTGGTATCGAGTTCAAATATTTTCTAACTAGAGCTTTTTAAAAATGGAAACCATTCACAGGTATCTACATACATTAAAATTATTTTGCTATTTTACATCGACTTATATCATTTGTTTGAATGTTTTATATTTTTTGCGCAGAGCTACACAAGGGCTATCTACTTTAGCCATCCCTAATTTTGAATTGATTACAGTGAAAGAAGCTAATAAAAACCATCAACTTTCAGTTCTTGGGCTGCTCTTGTTTAGCTGTCTCTCCTTTAGCGCAACCACGGCCCCATAACATGAAGCGCGTTTTTGTGGCAACATGACGTGAACTGTAAACACTTCATAGTCCTGATACTTTAAGCTCTAGACCAGGCCCGACACAACGCTTTATGAGTAGTCTATAGCATATAAACCTAATTTTGATTGCCGTGTGTTCATAAACACTTACATAATAATGAGGCGGTTTCGAATATCAACAAGAGATTTGTTGTTGTTATTTTGATCATGAGGCCAAATCCAAAGTTTGTGTATTGTAATGTAGTAGTTTTGTTTCAGTGGAACATTAGACAGAATGAACGTAGCAGGTTTGGGAACTTTAATGGTCTGCAACTGCTTATCGAAGCCCCAGTTATAGAAATCGAAACATCTTCCCTTTTCATTCAGTTGCAGGCAATTAAAGTCCTCAAACCTACGACGTAGTACTTTTATTTATGCTTTGAATTCACTCGTACAATTTTTTTCTTCAAAGTAACAACATCACCGCTCCTCAGTTTCTAGGGAAAACATTGTTAAAGAGCTGCTTGGATGGAGATGTGTCACAGTACGTTTTTATAATGATTACGTTAATTGAATAACTTTTTCCCACATGGAGCTGTACAATTCGGCACTAGCGTTTGTAACAATTACAGTAAGAAAAAGAAAGCATCGCAGGGGAACAGATACATTTTCCTATGTGTGCAAAACAAGTATCTGCCAAACATACTTCTTTCAATTTGAGGTCTTCCTCTGTTATCTCTTAGAAACTATTTTCATACGTAAAATATACATATATAATAAACAAAAACAGTATGTTGCCGCGTTTGGTATTTAGTTAACTTTTCTTCATTTCTGTTTTCTTTGTTATTCATTCACTATGTAATTTTTCTTCGATACGTTTTCTGATTAATTGGGACGGGACTTGTTTTAGTGGTTAACATGCCTGGCTGAAGGTCTTTAGGTCCAAGGTTCGAGCCCGTGATATTTCGCTGAAATGTCCACAAATTCAGCTTTGATCCTGTTTTAAAAGTATCTGTCAATCCCGGTATTCTCTCATGAGGCGCCTTGTAGTCGGCTGGTACTTGTTACTTACCCTTTTGGTCAGCACTTTTAATGTAGGAATGGCTATGCCAGAACTTTGTAATCTCTGACTTGGCACTTTAGTTCATATATCATTTAAAGTGTTGTCTGATTTTGTATCTCAGAAGCTGCAAAGTATACTTTTATTTTTAAGGTATTTCAGAATACCACAGTTTAACCAAGTACATATTAACTGTTGTATTTTGACCGTTCTCTAGTACAGATATAGTACGATTTCCTGGATCTTTGTTGAAACTGGGTTGCTGTTTTCGTATTTTTAGTGAGATTTCCTAATAAGGCGTTACAATCTCCATTAAGAACTAAAGTGACGAACGTTTATTACAACCGAACTTCAATATGATAAATCTTTAGTAGAACTGAATTGATTGCAACATTACAGAAAATATTTATACTTGTCATAGTTAGTTGTAAAGCACTAGACTTTAACTTTTTATCTTTTCGAAATAAATGGACTTACAGTTCGAGAGATATAACGAATCTTGCCTATTCAAAACAGATTGATCAACAGTGTGCGTTCCAACGTCTTCAGAATCATCGGGTTGACTGAGCGAAAGAAAATGCTAGGAATTAAAGAAAGCTTCTTGACCTTTGAAACAAAGACCTGAAACGAAAAGTCAAGGATCGACAAAGCCGTTACTTCCGAAACTGTAAGCCCATTTATTCTAAACTGATTTAGTGAAATTTGCTTATATTTTCATCTGTTTAAATGTAGATTTGCCGTTTTCACATTACTGAATACTGAATGATCAAAAATAAAATGTATCACGGGCATTTTTAATTACCATGTCAGGGTAAAACGTACAATTCTGTATAAAAATTGAATTGACTAGACATGCGTGTGTATTTGAGGATGGCAATCTGTAGTCATGAGGTACTTTATATAACCATGATCACTAGTAAAGTAAAAACTAATAATCTGATATTTTGAGCAATACTGTAATAGTCAGTGGCTCAAATTATTTCGCAGAAAGAGGGCCGAAGACCGCCTGGGTAGGTCATCTGTTTTAATCAGTCGCACCACTATACTGTAATGTGTTGTCTGTCAGTCAGTCAGTAAACACTAAAATGACGTAACATAAGGGACGCTTAACGTTGCAATTTGTACTTGCATGACGTCATTAAAACGTGCGCATGCCATGAATCACGAGAGGAATTATGCACTCTGTAGACTACAACACAGCATGACATATGAACTTCAAAAGCAAGAAATAAAAATATTTGTTACTTTTAATTTTGGTGTTATATACTCTTGAAACAGAACACTTGCAGGGACCCAGCGAAAGTAGATCTAATTTTACGTACTCTAGACATCATGAATTTGCGTTACAATGCACTTATATTCCATGTATGAACGTTTGTTCAATTTTTACATGTTACTCGTCTCACCTAAACCATCCACACAGTGAGCCTGTATAAGTAATATATCCGGTCTTGTTCAATACGTTTTTAAAGTTAGACATAACATGTAATTGATAAAACTTCATATGTAACAGTTATATGCTCGTATCATAAATGTACAATTATTAAACATATATGTGCGAAATGAAAAGTCATTTCCTATGGTCATACATTAACCGTAATTTCAGCATTTAGATATCGTATTTAAATGTTAATTCTTGGACCATGAAGTTTGATTTTTTATTCCACCTCATTTATTAGTAGGATTACCACTTCGAACATTTTATATCTCCCAGTTGTATGAAGTTGAAATAGGTCCCGGATCATATGTGGTAATGTAGTTCAGCTGTGTATAAGAGCAATGGTTTGTAAAGATTTACATTTTACTAGCTTTAGTACGTGTTTTGTTGTTGCTGTTTTTTATTGGAATTGGTCTTGTGTATGTGCGTTAAATTAGCAATTTGTATTTTCAATTTAACTTTAATATGTGAAACATTTCAATCTCCTGCATGGATAATAGATTTCACCGGGTGTCCTGCGGTTCTCAATCTGTAGCTTGCAGACAACTGGTGGTCACTTCAGGTGGTCCATGGAAAGGTTACATAATTACTAAAAGAAGCGTCAACGTAAAGTATAGATTATATTCTGGTCTGTAAATATTTAAAAAATCAGGTGGTCCGCGACAAAAAAAAAATTAGAACCACTGCAAAACAGTATTTACTGTATAAAAGACAAAGTATTTTTATGTAGCAATAGCATATATATTTGATCCACATACGAAATCTAATGTATCATTTAGACTTGCATAAGGACTGTTCTAAACGTATGCTGTTTTTTTTCCGTTTTTTTTTATACGAGTCGCCGGCGTTCTTTCACTGAAACAATTAAAATCCTGCATCGAATTCTCAGAGTTAAGATATCATAAAGTCACTGACCCAAAATCAATTCCTTTAGGCACAGAAGGGAACTCTTGTTAGCTTGACATTGGTAGAATAATATGGTTCTCTGATATCCGTTTTCTCACATTGCATTTAGATAATGTACTAAATACCAGGTTATCTTGCCTTGGGACTCAAGACAATATTTATCAAATAGTAATAGTGTTATTTAGTGAAACACAAGCAGAACATTGATACGATAATGCTAATGGCATTGCCACCACCTGCATCAATTATAGTGTATGTAAAAAAAAAAAAATCTTTCTCGAAATTTCAAGAGATCAGTAGATACAAAGATTGCTGGATTTTTCAAAATCCTATTAGTTTGGCCAGAATTTCGTAGAAATGGAAATTATGTTGAATTTAACTTTCACTTACCTAAATGTTTTAAATTGTAGTAAATACACATCTTAAGTAATTGTAGTAAATACACATCTTAAGTAATTGTAGTAAATACACATCTTAAGTAGTAAAATTATTCGAAAGTAGACTTTGCTTACACTGAGTATTCATCGATCTCTTCGAATCGTGATCCGACCTGTTTTCATTTCTAATAAATATATATTAACTAATTTAAATTTCACATGTAATGAAACCATGTTTTTTTAGTTAATTACGGTAAACCAAGAAGAATGGCTATAATGAAAGTCCTCCAGTGTAACTTAGACAACAACTACAAAATATTCGATAATTAACGTAACATACATAGATGATTTGACTGAGAAATTTAATTTCATTGATTGGTTTGGTTTGTTTTGAATTTCGCGCAAAGTTACACGAGGGCTATCTGCGCTAGCCGTCCACAATTTAGCAGTGTAAGACTAGAGGGAAGGTAGCTAGTCATCACCACTCACCGCCAACTCTTTTACCAATAAATAGTGGGATTGGCCTTCACCTTATAACGCCCCCACGGCTGAAAGGACGAATATGTTTGGTGTGACGGGGATTCGAACTCGCGACCCTCAGATTGCGAGTCGAGCACCCTAACCACGTGGCCATGCCGGGTCTAATTTCATTGAAGAAGTACAACAAAATATTGAATTATGGGGGATCTTTAGTGCAACAAGAGATTATATAACACGTTTATCAAATCTGCCTTTACATACAACATGTATCCAATATTTTGGGAATCGGTTGTAGACTTTCTATCATTCTCCTGTAGGTCAGCGATATGCTTCCGGACAATGCTAAGATCCGGGGTTTATGTTTATGTGCTAAAATACCAACAACAATCCCTGCTAAAATTCGAAGTTTAACGCTGCGGTAGGCACAGCATAGATAATTTATTGTGTAGATCTGCCCTTAACAACAAACAAACTTAAAAAAAAGTTTAATGAACCTGCGGTCCCTTTCCGGACGAGCCTCAAGCTTCTGGAACACAGCTAAAGGAAAAAGCTATAGAGGCCGGAAAATGAAGCAGTGGTGACCAAATAGAAATCCGTGTTCACGAACCTTCGTGAAGTAGAAAATGTGTTCATTGTTTTTATAGTCAGAGGACTTAGCAGCGTAGTGTAATATCTTCTAGGGTTCATTCATGTGAAAAACAACAACTAGATTTTGTTTGTAAAGTGAAGACTGACAGAACACGCCTTCCAAGAGTGGCAGCAGCCGCATGAAATATACGTAGTGAAGCTAAAACACGTACTACGAAGAATTCCAGCTGTGGACAGAAGTGAAGACCTTTTTATGTCGCGTGTTCTTCCTTTATGTTTGGGTTTTGTTTTTTGTTGTTTCTTTAATAGCGTACCTGTACTCCCTGTTCTTATGGCGAACATCTTTTTAAATCGACTTTATGCTTACCCCAGCTCCCATTAATCACGGACTAGTTCCAACGGGTGCTTCTTTGTTGTTGTTTTTATCCGGGTACATAGACGAACTCACAGTTTTTGCGTTGGATCAACGGGTGCTTCTTTGTTGTTGTTTTTATCCGGGTACATAGACGAACTCACAGTTTTTGCATTGGATCAACGGGTGCTTCTTTGTTGTTGTTTTTATCCGAGTACATAGACGAACTCACAGTTTTTGCATTGGAATGTAACTAATACATACAATTTATCATTTCGTAAAACTCAGTAAATGAAATAGTTTTGTATATTCAAAATATTTACTGCGTGAACCTTTATTATGCACGATACATTTTGGTGTCTCAGGGATTGGTTATTTCTAAAAAACAGATAGGAAGTTTATGACAGGGTATAATAATTTATAGTAAAATTATGTATATGTTAGATTTGCACAATTGATAATTTATATTTAGTGTTAAACTGTTAAGAAAATCTATTCGTCAGATTGATGTGAAATGTTTCATATGTGCAATAAATTGAAATAAAACTGAGCTTTGATAATGTCGGTAACAAGATTTTGTTGTAGAGGTAAAAGTGAAATCTGGAGCCGGCAAACTTCAGAAAGTTAAATAATTTCACTTTATAAGCATTAGCAAAAAAGGATGTTTGTGAAAATGTATTTGTATTTTGTATTCATGGCAAAGCTACTATGGCTATTTGCCATCGTCCCTAATGTTGAACTACTGGCCAGGGAACAGCCAATCAGCGGCTCTGTACCATCCACAACTTAAAGTGCGAGGAAACCTTTTTTTTGGAATCGTAGGGATACAAACTTGGTTCGCCATATCCGAAATCTAGAGCTCTACCACAGGGCCAACCAGTGCCTTTGTGGAAATGAAACGATAACTTAACTCTAGAATTAGCGATCACCATTTTTTAAACACAAGTTTTTCTAAACTGTTTATGCTCTAATAACACGAGTATCACACACAAAAAATAAACAAAAATACTGTCTTTATTGTATTTAATCTCACTAATTGCTGTTGGAGTTCTATATGTGTTTTACGTACAGAACTTTTGATTTCATCCAAATTTATCTTTTTTGTCAGGTCTTTACGACGGGCAAAAACAAATAATGCAATATACCTATTGCAAACATTAGCAGTAGGTAACAACTAAAAAAAGAAAAGTCGGTTATTTGATGGTTACCTATAGGTAATTGTTGTATTAACTTATTGTTAGCACATTTATCGTACGTAAAACTGAGCGGTGATCAATAAAACAGACGTAGTAAAAGAGAATCGTTATTTTTACTCTTGTAGTTTGAACAAATCTGATATTTCAGACAAATAGTAATCTGAAAATTCGAAATTAACTTCCTCCAAATTGAATCTTTCCTTCCTAAAGTTTTTCTTGGGCATGTAAAATTCACAAAGGATACAGCTGTTTTGTACAATGGTTTAAATTAATACAATTATTTTCTGATTTTACTCATTTGATTTTCTTTACTATATTCATGGCAGTATA